TAAGTAAACAAGCCACCGCTGCTCACCGGCCCTAAAATACCCTTCCTGCTCCCAGCTGGCTGGGGGAACTTTCTAGACAACTGAATTGAGTGTGTCTATCTAAATGTGTAGGAAGGAGGCTGTACCTAATGACTCTGAAAAAGTGAAAATTTCAGTCAAACCGGTTATTTGACAGAAGCTTGGATCCTTGCCTGAATTCAAACTAACCTGCTCATGCCCATGGGCTGGATGGCAGACTATCCTGAGATGTTGTGCAAAGAGCCAACTGTTGGAATTGTCTTCTAGAAGACAACCTTTTTGGGAGGAAAATGAAAAAGAAGGAACGGACAGAAGCTATGATGTCAACAGGAATGGCCCATGGGAACAAGTTTTATATTCTATTCCCTACGTGTTGATGGTTTAAGAATAAACCAGTAATAACTGAGGCCAAAAGTGTTTATAATTACAAATGTCCAAAAGTGACAGAAGAAAACAAAGTGAAAGTAGTTCAGTACAGATCTGAAGAGCAGAATCTAGTTTTGAAACTATACATGGAAACAATGCCTGGGTGAACGAACCATTCTAGAACTTTGAGCTTTTGAATTTTTCTCAAAACATACCCCTATTAGTAAAACCTAACTTTAAATCAGCCCATTTCTACTGTACTTACTAAGTCCAAATTAAAACACACACAAACACACAACTTCCACAGCAAGCCACAGGGCGAGGGCCAAATGATTTCCCAGGTGGGTCCTTCAACAAGCTAAGCAACTGATCCCTAACATTCTGATCCCACCCTAATGCTGGGGCCTCGGGCACCAGTGTGGGGCTATCTTCCCTGAACATCCATAATCATCAATTTAATATTAGAGTTGGCTTGCTACTCCTGTCAGAAAAGTTTCAGACACTAGCGGCTGGTCCTGAAGCTCAGATCAAGGGGGGTGGGGGGGGGAAGAAAGGGAGTATTTTCTTTTTCAACAGGGCGGAATCCTTCATCTTTACTGATACTACCTCTAAAAACATTTCAAAACACGTTAGTGCTGTCACGTGGACCAAGTCTAATTATGTAGCACGATGGATTTTGGCAATCGGCTTCTTCAAACTTCAGAATGAGTTTTTGAAAAATTACAGACTAGGAAACTAAATATATAAAGCTGGAAATAATGGTCAAAAACCTACTGGAGGCATCAACCAGTTACTGCTAGACAGAGCTACACAGGTGTGAATACATGACAGATAAATAGATTTCTGGTCTCCTTTTCAGATTTGGAAAGCAATTTACTAACACACATCCTCCTTGACTTACGATGGGGCTGTGTCCCCACAAGCCCATTGTAAAGTAAAAATATTTTAAGTTGAAAATGCATTTAATACACCTAACCTACCTTAAACATGCTCAGAACACTTACAATTAGCCTACAGGTGGATAAACTCTAACACGAAGTCTGTTTTACATGAAGTGTTGAATATCTCATGTAATTTATCGAATTCTGTCCTAAAAGTGAAAAACGGGACGGTTGTCAGTGTGTCGGCTGTTGACCCTCATAATTGTGTGGCTGCCACCCAGTATCACGGGAGAGGAGCCTACCGCATATCACCAGCCCGGGAAAAAATTCAAATGAAAATTCCAAGTACAGTTTCTACTTAATGTGCGTTGCTTTCACACCATCGTAAAATAAAAACTTTTAAGACAAACCATCATAAATCGAAGACCATCTGTACTTAATTAATGGCTTAAAGAGTCACACTGTGGAAGCAATAGTAGAAACTATTAAGATCACCGCTGCCCCTTTTAACTCATAATGTCTGGCACATTCTGTGCACTCAATAAATACTCCTTGAATTCAGAAATGAGGACTCAGGAGCCTGGAGCTGGTAAGCGACATGTCCCCCTTGACACTGAGCTGGAATGAGAAAACAGACCTCCTGGCTTCCAGGCCAGGACTGAACTGGGCTTCTTCACATCTGAAGTCCTTAGAGAAAAGAGGGTAGTGGTTCTTCACCTGGGATACGATTCAAAACCCTCTCATTTATTCCTCTTCAACACAGCCCAGACCTCCTGAATGGAGAATGTCTTCAGAGAAGCAGCTGAGACAGGCTCCTCGCTTGACAATTCTTGCACTCTCCAGAACACCCCCCAGGGTCTCTTCTAGAGCAACACCTTGACCTCTCCATTCTGCAAGAGGGAGGGGCTTGCTTAACAACCCCCAGGCAATCTCCAAGCTCACGGCTGTTCTGGTGACAGCCGCCTCCACATAAGGCAAGCAGAGTGACTACTGAGGAAATGAGCAAGAGTCTAGACCACCAAATAGACGTTTTGTTCCAAGTTTCACACAGAGACCAATCCTAAGGAATCCGTTCCCTGGCCCTCTTCCTCCCTGCTCCCAGGATCGGACGTTGGATGATCACACACACCTGAGCTGGCGGTCCTGAAACCAGAACTCGCACAAGGCGGTGGAGTTCGGTGGTTGAGGCAGGACTCTAGGGTGAGAAGGCCTGAGTTTGAATCCTGCCTCTGCTTCTCACGACATGCGGAAGTCACTTTACTTCTCTGTACCTCAGTTTCTTATTCTGTAAATAGAGTACCCACTACATATGCTTAATGTAAGGATTAAAAGGACACTTAAAACAGTGTTTGACAGTACTGAGTGCAATAAGAACAGAAGATACCATATCTTAGAACCAAAAAAGTCTCTAAAATGAACCAATTTTCTTGAACAGACTGAATTTAATAGGGGTCTTTAACACCTTTTATAAAAATATCTCATTTTATATTTTTAATAATTTACCCTTTTAAATTGTTTGTTTGATGTTACTTTAACAGAATGACATTTGTTCGCCTACTCTCACAATTTTATTCAGGAGCATTCTGTTTTAAGCGAATACAGGACAGTCAAATTAAGTGGTATTTATATTTTTCTCAGAAACAAATCTCCAAGCACTAATAGCAGTGTTCAAAGGGGTAATAGCAAAGAGCTGTGAACACTTATGAAGTAAAAAAAAAAAAAAAAAAAAAAGTGATGCTTTGGAGGTGCTCCAAGAGTCAATTTAAAATAAGGAGGGGGGGTCCCCTGTAGCAGAAAGGGAGAGATACCACCTGCCTGAGAGGACTCTATCTTGGGCTGATTCAGGAGCAGGACCACAGTCTCCAGGACTCCCAGGAGAGATGAAGGTGAGCCCTTCGGACCCCTTAGAGGACGCAAAGCTTTCCACCACCTCTGCCAGTGATAAGACCAATCGCTTATTACTGAAATCACCCCCCACCTCCTCTTTCCTATATTTTGCAAGATTAACACTCCAATGTTCCAAAAGTTTGTATGTTCCATACACTGGCAGGTAATCTTTCCAGAGACTTTACCAGTCTCTTCTCCACCGAAGTGACTCCCAAACCTGGCTGCCCAACAGAGGAGCTTTTAAAAACCCTGATGCCCAGGTCTCATCCCAGACCAATGAAATCAGAATGTCTGGGGTTGGGAGCCAGTCATCAGTTTTCGTTTTGTTTTGTTTTGTTAAAATCCTAAGTGATTCCAACGTGCAACAAAGTTTGGGAACCAGTGGTTTATGCGTTAATGCTCCCCTAGCAAACTCACTCAGCACCAAACCCCGACTCCCTATGCCAATGACATCAACAGCAAGTACCGACCTGACTCCTGGAACCCGGGTTGCTTGATTTTGAAATTGTGTAATTAAACCTTCTGAGGCATGTTTCCCATGTCAAGTGGGTTTATGGCCGGTAGTCACGAAGCCAGACTCGCTCATGTTCAGTCTGGACATTTGGCACCCATGAACCATGGACATCGGTCCTTTTTTAAAAAAATTAGTATTTTGGTTGGCCCAATGTCAAACTCCTCCAAAAGCTAAAAGGAACATCCCAAAGAGAAAATCTCGGGATTCTGAGAAGGAAAGTTTGATGTGAGCCTTATTTTGAAAAAACCGTGGGGACCTGACCGGGATGGGTTCCGCCCTATGAAGTTCGGCAGCAGGACCCAGCTGTCCCGCCGCTACTGGTCCCACCGCTCTGTCCAGCTTCGCCTTAAAGCCTGGATACGAAACCAAAGGGCTGCAGGTGGGGGCAAATCTCGGAAGTTCCCGGGAAGCGACGACGTAGCGAAACCCCACAAGCCCGAGGGGCGTGGACGCCTGGGTGCGAGCTCTGGGCTGGCCAGGAGCTTGGGTCCCCCCGACCTGCGGGAGGATGGCGAACCCGGCAAGCGTCTGGGGGGTCTGCGCCAAGGGGCGAGTCCGACCCCACCCCCTTTTTTTGCTTAAGACGAAAACTACGCCTTTCCTTCCCGGTAGCCACAGGTAGAGGCAGACACGAGACCCTCGGGCCTCTCAGCTCAGGGTTGCATCACCACACGTGGGAAAGGGGCTTGCAGGGTCCTGCGACCCACCCAGGCCTGGACCCAGGCTGGCAAGGCCAGGTCCAGCCGAGTGGCTCAAGTAAGAGACCCGGGTGTAGGGAGGACGTGCGGTGGGTCGGCCGGGGAAGCCGCCTGTCCCAGGAGGCCCGAGGAGTGAGATGGATTCCCGGGGGGGAGGGGGCTGTAGTTCCCCAGCTTCCCAAAGCCCCTCGGGCGCGCGCCCGGGGCCCGGCCTGGCCCTTCGGGAGGACAGGCGCGGGGCGCACGTGCGGGGAACGCTAGCCAGCCCCGCGGGAACCAGAGCCGCCCCGCGCCAAGTTTTCGCCTTCGTCCGCGGACCCCGCACGGGAGGCCAGGAAAGTTGCGAGCGCGCCGGGGCGCCGAGCTCCAGCCGGTGGTTCCCACACCCCGCCCGCAGCCCCGCTGCCCTGCGCTGGGAGCCTCCGGTCCTGGGCCGCCTTAGACTCGCTCAGCCCAGAAACGAAACGTCCCGTTCCTCCCACAGCCCCGGCCAGAAGCGCAGCTGATCCTCAAGGAAACAGGAAAGGAGGGGCGGGAGGCGCGGGACGCCGAGCCGGTGCGGCGAGCGCAAGCTGGGCCGGCTGCGGGTCGGAGCGCGTCGGGAGACGGCGTGCGGCCGGCGGGACTCGCCCTTACCTTTCTTTTCCTCCAGCGCCGGACTCGCCTGGAAGTGCGCAGCCAGCAGTACCAGGAGCGCGGCTCCCGCCGTCCCGGAGGGTCGCATCGTTGCCCCCCAGGCGCTGGCTCCGGGTCTCCGCAATTAGGACCGAGTCGGGCGGCCGTGCGCGGCGACGGCCGCGGCGGCGAGACAGGACTCGGGTGGACGCGGAGGGAGCCTGTCGTCCGGTCTGGGAGGCGGCAGCCGCCGGGGCTCGCTCGGGACTCGCTCAGGACTCGCTCAGGACTCGGGCCGCCCTGACCGCGGGCGTACACACCGTGCCGGGGGCGGAGGCTGCTGCCGCCGCGCTGCGCCGGGGGCTGCCCAGACGTCTAGCTCGTGGGGGCGGGGGCCGGGAAGGCCGGGCTGGAAGGAGGAGGGACCAGGCGGAGGAGGAGGGATCGGGAGGAGCCGAGGAGGAGCGGCGTGCCTGGAGAAGGGAGGAAGAATCAGCAGCGAAGACCGCAGGCGGGCACCGACTGGAGAGGTGGCGGACAGCGGTGGCCCCTGTCGGCCCGAGCGCACCGGGGAGGGCCGGCGTGCAGGGAGGAGGCGGCGTCCGGGAGCCAGCGGGCGCACTGAGGAGTTCGTTTCCGAGTGGGACGTTCCCCGCGCTCTCCCTCAAGTCCCAGTCCTCGCGGACGGGCCCGGTTACAAAGTGACCCAGCCTCCGTTGAGCCAGATTTGTACCAGGGTCCCTCATTTTCGCCTTTCGTCCCTCCAACTTGCGGAGCAGACTTGTACCAGCTCCGGGCAAACTGGCCGCGCCTTAGGCCCAAGGCCAGATAATGGCAGGGCTGGAAACCACTCCTTTATTCTGGCTCCCAACTCCTCCACTGCACCCCAGGATCCTAATGGGGGTCAGAGGCTGGCCTGGCAGCCAAGCCGTTCCTCGCCGCGCCCGCCTGGCAGGAGTGCCAAGCATCTGAGTTGGAGCTCTCAAGTCTGAGGGTCCTTCACATCCCGTCAAGCACCCTAGAAATTGACCGAAATAAGGGAACCTAACTCTGCTCAGAGACGGGCCTTGGAAAATACTAGTTGAATGAATGCATGAGTACCAAGAGTGTCCACAGCATTTCATATGCCAGGAACCAGCCAGGAGTAGCTAAAAAGCAAACACCGTGTGGTCAATTCACAAAAGACAAGCGCTTCGAATAAAGGCTTAACACAAACACCCGAGGAGACACTTTTAAGAAGCGAGGTGCCCCACTGCCCTGAGACAACCAGGTAACTCAAGCAGGAGAAAGGCCGGGGAAATTCACTAAGGGTTCGGCCAGAAGAAATTGGACTTTCTCCCGCTGCAGAGACTTGAGCTACATTTCGTTTGCAAGGTAGGGCCTATTCTCACCGTTCCTTCCCAGACCGGACAGATAGACTCTGGCCCAATTCTACAACCAGATTCCCTTCTCTCCTCCCAAGATTCGTTATTGACATTCAGGCCCAGTTCAACACTGGTCCCCCTACTGTTTGAGTAGGAATCACCAACCTAAAGTAAGTGGAGTTAGAACCCAGAACTTTCCTGCTGCTGGAGGAGGGGTCCAGAGCACAGGGTTTCTCACTATCCATAGGACCTGTATTTTTTCATGTGAATGTAGAGTCATTCTTGTTTGTTCCTTTGTTTTAACAAATAAGAACAACCGCTGAGCCTTCTGAACTCATTTAGCCCCTGGGTGAAAAAGGCTATGACAATTCTACAGGCCATGTTTTGGTTTCCTCCACTTGTTCCAAACAAGGACTTAAAGCAGTTTGCAAAGAAACACAACCACACAAGTAACACAAGCTGGAGAAGAGCAAACCAGAAACATCACAGTGGAACATAGAATGAATCTGGAAGTGAGTCTTAGAGAAGATCGGCACACAACAAAGTCCTGTGCATTTACTTAACAAGACCACAGATTTGGCTCTGACACACTTCTGTCAAGGAAACATGATGGGTGGCACAAATCATAGTGTCCACATGTTAAAACACCAGTCAATTAAAGCTACAACTAACTTTTTAAGACTACATAGCAATTTCTTCTGTGAGCCCCTCCAAAGAAGACAATGTGTAGACTTTGGAGTTCTCACTAGCCACTTCTTTGTAATAGTACTAACCTTTATAGTGATAACTTGTGCTACCAACCTTTGATCTGATCTGATCTGATGGCATCTCAGGAAGCAAAGCTTTAGGAAAACAATTACTCAAGGAGGCAGTGGGACACTTCAAAAACACCATTTGATACTGGGTTGATCCTGAGGAATGGATAGGAACGGATGAACTTAACATCCTACTGGGGTACCTATCTCAAGTTTGAGTTTCTCCTCTGAGTTTGTGATGTAAGGGGTGACATTCCAGACGATTTTGTGCTCTTTGGCAGGTTCGTGGGGTGTACTGATAATGTGGTACTTGTGAAGTGAAAAACTATATGGCCAACCTTGCAAGAATGGCATTCTCTTAAGAGAACAGAGCTGTGGCCAGACTGGACCTTGCGTAAAGGATGCTCATGCGCCCAGTCTCTGCAGAGAGTGCTCCCAGGGCATGTACCAGGCCACATGCCAGGCAAAGGCCACCACCATCATCACCACCATAGGAATATTGCAGGGACAGCCCCAACTCCATGCTAAGTACTGAACAGAAATTAGCTCATCTGACTACCCGTTAGCTAGGTTACATTTCATCTGCTTTTCATATCAAGGTGACATTCCATGACACTGGCTTGGAAAGGTTAAATAAATAACTTCCCCAATGTACCAAAGTGTGCATTTGCTAGCCATGAAGTCAGCCTTGAACCCAAATCCAGGCCACGTTCTCCATCACTCTAATAGTACAACTTTTCAAGTAGAGACATCAGGACCTGAAATTCTATTTCAGAATATGTCTTGGAAAGTTTTTAGAGAAGTTACAACCAAAATTTCTGCTTGGCCAAAAAATTTCTGGGTAAAGCACCCATGCACACCATATTAGCAGGTATGTATTCAGACTCTACTATTTCCCATATTAAATCTCTTATGGTCCATCAATTTCCGTAACACATTTCTTTGCCAGCTACAAATTGGAAACTTCTTTGCTCCTCTGATGAGCAGTTTTCCTCTTTTTGAGCTTTCGGAGTATTTTAAATAAGAGTTTAATCTTTTCTAGAAGAACATGGTGGTGAGGCCCCTGCAACCACACGCTCTGTGGAAAGGGAGGAGAAACGGGTTATTTGACAGGGTAAAGAAAGGAGGGTGTCAAATATTTTAAGTTCCTTCTTAGACGAGAGGCATTTGACCACCTGTTTTCTCTGGCCTTTGAGGGCAAAGCTAAGAGTGATGAGGAAAAACACAGATTGGCAGATTTCAAAATTTTTAAATAATCTTTGGGAAACTACTAGAGGTATCTAAAAGTGGAACGAGCTGCCTCTGAGTGGAATGGTTTCTCATCCTCAGAAAGCTTTGTATGCAGGAGCGATACTAAGGGAGGTTGTGAATTAAGGCCTGAACTCGGTCCTTTCCAATCCAAAATTCCAAAAGAACATGCATTTCTAAAATAGGTTCCCATTTCAACGTGCATGCATTCGACAGCTCTTCTGAAGATATATTTTAAGAAGACGCAAGAATGCAATAAAGGGGTTGCCTCTGGGGACAAGAATTAGCTGGGGGTAGGGGTTGGAAGGAGGCTTATTTTTCAATGGTCCTTTTATACCTTTGCCATTTTGTACTGTGAATAGGCATCACCTAATCACCTATTTCCGTAAGATAAGGGTCAGTGACCTCAGTAGGCCCCCTGCTGAGGTTGGGAGGGGCCGCTGCTGGTGACAGACTTTCTTGGTTTCTTCAGCCATTTATTCTCTCCCTTTGAGTCAAGTTATTTGCATTTGACTCTGACTTGAGACCTATCTCTGGCCCAGGAGGGAAGAAGCCGCTCCTTTTTCAGAGATAATATGCTGACACAAAACTGCTGAGGCATTCATTTGTCATTAGTATTCTTATTAGCATTATATGTCATTAGTATTCTTCATTATCTCTAGGGTTGAGGGTTACGTAATGCTTAAAAAGCAGGATCACATTTTGGAATGCCAGTTTCTGGCATTGTTGAGATGTTTGTTAATTACTTTGCAAGGGATCTTGTAGGAAGTTTCTGGATCCTGCACAATGCTTTGCCCATATTAAAGGTTTAAAACAGATTAAATAATTTTGTCCAAGGTATTACTACTTGTGTCAGGGATAGTTATAACCAGAAACATTAGCCTCCGGGTTGCAACTGGTGGCCTGAAGACCAAGTTCAGGATATAGATGTGGCTTGTGTGGCTCATTCAATATTTCTTTTAATTGAATTAACGGCAACATTTAAAAATCAGGACATTTCACATTTAAAATACGGAATTTGTGTTTCTTTTGAAAAAGGGGCAGTGCTGGTCAACTGGGTCTACTTTCAAGCCACATGGCAATATGCTGGGTGATTAACAGTCCCCTTCAGAAAGGATATTCTGTCTCCAGCTCACACCGACACCACCAAGCTTGATTCATCAGTTCATGGATCCTGTGTGGCTAACTGTAGGCATTCAAGTTTGCAACTGCACCCTTCCTGGTTAAGCAACAGCATTGTCAACCATGCTGTAGGTATGATTCTCATCCCTGGTTTTCCTTATCTTCCCTTGTCTTTCCATCTCACCCTCGCTCACCTCATGTGTGGGCATATGCGTTTGTTGATAGATTTTGGTCCAGAGGTCATAATACACTGTATATCACGAGAGACCTCATCTTAAATTAGCATATTTCAAATTTTAGCACATTTCGATTTTTTTTCCAAAAAACAGATGTTTATCACTGCTCATGTTTATACCATTATCATCGTTGACATTCTACAGGCATATATTTTAATTGATATATACATATATATCAATTTTAACTTATGTATTATTATATATATGTAATTATATATATAATAATTCAATTAGAAATTACTAGAGACAGATAGAGTCCTGTTGTAGGACAGAGAAAGAAGACCTGCTTCTCAATGGATGATGTATGTACAATAACCATGTACCATGAGCTAACCATGAGGTGGCAATGGTTGAAAACCGGGGGTAGGAGGTGGGGGTTTCGGAGGGTGCCTGGACTAAATATTATTGCTTACCTTGAAAATCAGCAAGTTTTGTCCAGTTTATCTGTTTATAATAAATTATAATAAATGATAAAATATGTGCTTCATTAGGAAACAACTAGAGACATTTTGAGTTATTTTAGCTATTTGTA